CTGGTTTTGGGATGCGGTAGGGGGAGGGGAGATTTTGAAGCTTGCCTAGAAACGTCAGCCTTTCTGCTCCTATGATGCTGCTTGGCCTGCTGTGTTCATCCAGCTCTGCACCTTGTTGTGTCGGATTCTCCAGCATCTGCAGTTCCTACTATCTCTGATTCAAAATTACATGGCAGTTTGGTTGTGCATTAGGCCTAATGTAGGCCCAGAATCTTCTCCGACTCATGAGGCTGCCATGTGTAGCAAACAAGGAAAGGTGGGATTTAACGAGGTTAATAATGTTGGCATTTTTAATACTTATTGGGCAAATCAATTTAATTTTTTCCAGAGCAATCTGCTGAAGTTTTGCAAGATGGCCATTCTGAAGAAGGTAGAAGTATAAAAGCGCAGAGCTGCTGATTATTAACCATTAATTTCTGGCCAGATTTACGCACACTTTTGATGTTGAAATAAAAGTTTTAAATCAAAATCCCATGGTATAATACAATTAATCAACTTGATTTAATCAGCATTTAAAAATTTGGTTATGCAGTGATTTATTCACTTTATTAATCCTACTATAATGCATGTTTCTGAAGAAATGAAGCCTTGCTGAACACAATTCACCAGAGAGAGCCCAATTTTTAAAATGTATTCATTTATTTTGCTTTCGAATCCACTATTTTTGAGAAGCAATGTGGAAAAATGAGATAACAAGTTATAAGTAAGATGGATGCGTTTAGCAAAATAAAATATAATTGCTGCGTGAAGATTGGACAAACCAGTCAGGGAGTTGACTAATCCATGACAAAAGCTGTTTCTCATGCACAGAAAGTGGCATACTCTACAGCCCAGCAGTCATTGAAGCAGACAGAAAATCATTTTGTAAAGGGGTGCTTCAGAACATGGGGAATGAGCTGCAAATTGGGATTAAACTTGATCTCTCATGTGCAAACAATATTTAATGGGCCAATTAGCGTTTATTTCTTTGCTACAACCTTCTAGGAGATTAGCATGATGTATCCTCACAATTTGTGCCATTATAAACGCTGATGCACCCTAATTGAATGCAAACACTGAGGAAGCAAAACAGCAAGTTAAACAAAGTAAGTTTAACTTCCCAGGGAAACTCCTGCTCATCATTCTAGGGAGCAAAAGAGCTACATGATTATCACTTCAATACTGTACAAAAGGAAATTGCATAAGTCCAGAGAAAAACAAACATTTTTGGTAGCCTTTTTGAATGCTGGCAACAATATATAGGGCCATCAATATAATTTTGGTGTGATAGATAGGAAGTATTATCAATCGGCCAGTAGGTGTGACAGATAAATGGGAAACCTGCTAAAAACAGTCACAGACTGCAAGTGGAGGAGGTAACACAAACTTGTACTGCTCAAGAAAGGCCACTTGTTCTCCTGTGCCCGATCCTTATCACAGACAATGCATTGCAAGGGAGTTTTGTGGAGAGTTTTACGTACCGTTGCATTCCCTCCTCACATACTATACACGAGGGACATTAATAATTAAAGATAAAACTCTTTGTATTGACAAAGATTGTCCTCCTGATTTCCTCCTCTATTTCAAATAAAGTCAGCAGCATTCCAGAATATCACATGAGACGCCACACTCTGTATTGGTTTTTTTGTTGGCTGGTTGCAGTCCACAGATAACGATCCCCACTCCCCCAACCCACCCGTGCCTGAACAGAACTGACTTCCACACAGCAATTCTTTATTTGTGCTCAGCCTTATTGCTTTCCTCATAGCTTGGTGGGTGCATGCATGTATTTGTACCACATGGACTGCGATGATTCGAAAGGGCGGTTCGCTACCATCTCTTCAAGGTCAGAAGTCACACAACACCAGGTTATAGTTCAACAGGTGACTTCACCTGACGAAGGAGCAGCACTCTGAAAGCTTACAATTTCAAATAAACATGTTGGAATATAACCTGGTGTCTGACTTTGCCCACCCCAGTCCAACACAAGCACCTCCACATCATGGTAACCTTTTCAAGAGCAATTAGAAATGGGCAACAATTCCAGGCCTCACAGGTGATGCTAAAATTCCAAGAAATAATTTTGGAAAGAAAGCAGATAGTTTTATTTTTTGTTTTAGCAGTTATTTCTCCTTAAACTCACCTTACAAATCAATATCCCACTCTTTCATTTTCCTCCAATGACGCAGCAATGTCCAACAACACAGTCAATGTGGAATATCTTGGAGAGTTTTCGATAGGAACTGGTGCAATGGATCAACCTGGGAGATAAACTTCAGGGGAAGAAAAAGCAAACAATTCCAGTGAAAGAGAGCTTCCTGGTGTCAACTTGTCAACTAACAGAAGGAGAATATGTGGCATCTACTTCAGGAACTCCCACATGGGAGTCTGTTTAAAAAAAAGTGGAAAGCTGTGGAATTATGAGGAACATAGCGGTTAAGGATTCTTATTGTAAGGTGAATAGGATATAAAAGTAGTAATGTTTTGCTGAATTAAGCATTAGCGAAATTGCACCTGGAGCATTGTTAACAGTTCTAGTCTCCATATTTTTAAAAAAGAGCAAACATGTTAGAAGTGGCTCGGAGAAGGTTGACTTGACTGGTATCTGGATGAGGATGTAGTTGTCTTCTGAGGAAAGATTGGACAGGCTAGGCCTGCATCTGTTGGAGTTTAGAATAATGAGAGGTGTTTTTATTGAAATATAAAAGATCCTGATAAGACTTAGCAGGATAGATGCTGAATGGGTAACTTGGATGAGAAAAGTGAATGTACTATCGCCAAGTTTGTGGATGACATAAAAGTAGTTGGCGAGGCAAGTGACGAAGATTACAGAGTCCACAGTAGGATATGGAGAGGTTAAATTAGTGGGTAAAAACTGCGATAGGATAGGGAAATGGAATATAATGTGGGAAAATATGAGGTTACGCACTTTGGCAGGAAGAATAGATGAGTTGAATATTATTTAAATGGAAATGCTTCAGGCACTATGATATAACAAGGTGTAGAGCTGGATGAACACAGCAGGCCAAGAGCATCAGAGGAGCAGGAAGGCTGACGTTTCGGGCCTAGACCCTTCTACAGGCACTATGATATTGTGGTTTTCCCTCAAGTTATTAAGCCTAAGTCAGTCATATTGCTGACTAAATAGGCATCTAAAATTTCACGCCTGTTAGACAGCTCCAAGGAGTTCTTAGTTTCCTGGGCCAGCTTCTCTTTTAGGTTCGATGAATAGTCACCCATTCTCCTGCCATCTTTATACTCTTTACCGTCCTTTGACACCGGGTCCTCTACTATCCCCTATCAGTTGTGATGAGTGAGCTGTTTTTTCCCAGAATCCTCCTCAGTCACTTCTCACTACCGCCATTTGTTGATGTGCTTTAATAAAGAGGAGAATAAAATGCGTTAAAAACCAAATACTTCCGATGCTGGAAGCCTGAAAACAAGAACAAAGAACAAAGCTGGAAAATTTCAGCAGGTTAGGCACCATCTGTAGAGGGAGACAGAGTTTACATTTCAGGGTAATGACCTTTCACCAGTTCTGCTTCAGCTTTTTCATTGTTCTTGTCACAGTAAAATATGAGCTTTGCCTCAATTTGATGTCTCAAATAGGCCCGTACCACAGCATGCCATTAATTGCGGGTGGCCCTTGGATATATATTGCTCAGATCATCTTGAAACTGGTTAAAATTTGTCACTGTGACCCTGCAACTCACTCAGCCATTGCAAATGCCCATTTTGTTGATAAATGCAGAAACATTTCCTGACACCTTAATCATTTTAGATTCTTATGACCACTTTCAAGAATTAAAGCTGGAGATGTTACGGATGAAGCATTTTTGAAAAATAGCATGTAGATCAGGAGAAATGTCGCATTTTGATGAAAATAGTACAAAGCTTTGAAAATATTCCTCCCCCTGTTTAGATTGCACATCCTAAATAATGGGAAAACTTCTAGACAGCAAGTACATTGTAAGAGAAAAAACTTAGAGACTTGGAGATGCACCAGAAAGGCATGTTACTGGTACATTTCCAGGGAGTTTATAATTTGCTGAATGTGAAGACATGGTTATGAAAAGATTGCTTTGTGAATCAACATAGCATCCAATATACTCCAGTCAACATGATTATAAATGCAAAATTGGCAACAATGAAATAAGTCCACACTAAATGGAATTTATATTCTTTCAATCGTCTGTATTTATTTTGTTCTTCATTTATTGAAATCCAATCACCAACATTCTCTTTGTGAGTAATTGCGTTGGGACATTGTGTACAAATTGTGCACAGGGTTAGTACAGGAATTGTTGACTCTGTTGTCTTTCCACAGAAAAAGGGCAACTTTTTGACAAACATATCCAAGACAATGGATCATCCATTGAAACTTCTTCTGTGCCAACTTGGGTCACCATGGCCAGGCAAAAGCAGAAGGGGTACCATGTACAGCATTTCGGCAAGCAAGATAAAATGCCAGCCCAGGAAACCAAAGCTACTTCCAATGGTAAAGGAGTAGACAAGGTAAAATTGTACAGTGCCATTTCCTTCATCCCCCTTTTATATACAGTAACATTTTATGCTGATCATCGATCACGCCATTCTGCAAACAGTATAGTACACCACATAAATACTAGGTCCTAATGTCCTTCAGTAATCTTAGGGGCAAAATCAATAATATAAAAGTTTCCTGTTAGGAATCTGTGGCTATGACTGTGGGTGACATGGTGGCTCAGTGGTTAGCACTGGTGCCGCACAGCACCAGGGACCCGGGTTCAATTCCACCCTCGGGTGACTGTCTGTGTGGAGTTTGCACATTCGCTCTGTGTCTGTGTGGGTTTCCTCCAGGTGCTCCGGTTTCCTCCCACAGTTTGAAGATGTGCAGGTTAGGTGGGTTGGCCATGCTAGATTGCCTGTAGTGTTCAGAGATGTGTAGATTAGGTGGGTTATAGGGGTACGGGTCTGGGCAGAATGCTCTGAGGGTCAGTGTGGGCTTGTTGGGCAGAAGGGCCTGTTTCCACACTGTAGGGATTCTATGATGTTGAATACTGGATTCCTAAAGTTTGCATGTTGTGAATTTGTTTTCAATTCTTGGTTCTAGTTGAATGATTGTTCAAATATATAATGAGCAGTAATGAACAACAGTTTGCCAAATGTACCGCAATAAAAAAGAATTCAAACTAGTTATTCTCTGTCTCAATGTTCCAGTAAGGTTTTTGAGTGTATTTCTGCCTAATATAGATGACAAAGTGATTATTAAAATTGTATTTCTGATATGAAAACTTTAAATGTTTAATATAAATCACAGTCATACAGCATGGAAACAGACTTTTCCATCCAACTCGTCCGCACTGACCAGACATCCCAGTCTGACTAGTCCCATTTGCCAGCATTTGGCCCATATTCCTCTGAACTCTTTCTGTTCAGGCACCCATCCAGATGCTTTTTGAATGTTGTAATTGTACCCACTTCCACCACTTCCTCTTGCAGTTCATTCCATATGCAAACCATCCGCAGTGTGAAAAAGTTACCCATTAGGTCCCTTTAAAATCTTACCCCTCTCACCTTAAACTTATGCCCTCTAGCTTTGGACTCGCCCACCTGAGGAAAAACACTTTGGTTATTCAACCTAAACATACCTCTCATGATAAGCAATTTAGAGAACATCAAAGCTAGCTGTATAAAGATTAACCAGGCATTATATCCTATTTGATTAGACTCTTGTCTAGATACAGTAGAAATGGTAATTGGTATTAAATTGATATTCTTGCGAATTGTCATGATGAGAGCAAGACGAAAAGCTTTGAGAAAATATGCTCTTTTTTAACAATACTAAAGAACATTTTGACCAACATTAAAAAAGGGCAGGGACAAGGTTTCTCACCATCAGCTCATATTTATAAAATTATTGCTTATGGGTAAACAACAGTTGTCATTTTCATTTATATTCCTTTGTTTTATATTTTGGACTATGGACCAGGTACCCAGATTCTTACACATGTATGTCTGGGTGTATTTCCTTGCAGGAACCTGTCGTTTTACTGTTCTCTTCAGCATAAAGTGGTCATTTCCCCTCACGTAGTAATGTGCGCAAATAGACTGAGCCATGCATACATAGACTTTCCAACCTTTAATTCATTTTATTTGAAATGTAAATTTGAAAGGTAGTTGCAGAAGCAGGCCCAGATATAAATAGAAGAACCTGTTCTGAGCAATGATGCTATCATCACATGATAGAATAAAAAAAAATTGTTGAATGATGGGGTTGTGAAGAAAACAACTATGAAGGTGATAAACTTCGTGGATACGATGGTCTTATCCAGTCCATTTTATATGCTCAGATGTACTTTCATAAGTTAAGTCAAACAATGGATGCAGCAGACTGGCACATGATAATGTTACATAGTGATCCATTGCATAGACAAAAGCTCCAAAAACATGGGTTCAAATCCCACCATGACAGTTGATCGAATTTGAATTTAATTCGTGCACTCTCAAATGCAAAGCTAATCATGATGATCACCAACAACTGACACTGATTGTTGTAGAGGCCCAGTTCATTCACTACTGTCCGTTAGAGAAGGAAATCAGCCTCCTTACTCCGGATGACCTACATTCGACTTCAGACCCACAGCAATGTCTGGCAACATCTGTGGAGAGAGACGTAGAGTTAATGTTTCAAATCTGGTTTAAGTTTTATTCAGGAGAATCTGAAGAAGAGTCAGACCTGACTTGAAGTGTTAACTCTGTTGCTCTCCCCACTGATGCTGCCAGATCTGCTGAGCTCATTCAGCAATTTCTCTGTTTATTTTAGACATACAGCATCCATCGTATTTTGCTTTTATTATCACAGCAATGTGGTTAACTCCTAGCTGCCCTCTGCACAAGGGCATTCAGGGATGGGCAGCAAAGGCCCATATCCTGTAAACAAATGAAGGTGAATAGATATATTCTGTGCATGTGTTATATTTGTACACCTCTTCCAGTACTTGGCAGCCTTCCAAATGTTGTTTGCATTTCCAACGTGTACAACTTATCACTGAAAGGACCCAAAACCCAGACAGCAGGAGTGCTATCAAATCTGACCAGAGCTTTGCCTTCTTGGTAATTTGAATTGACTACGTCGACCTCATTTATGCAGCTGCTATAAATTAAAAGTGAAACCTGCTCCAGACATGACCATTAATTTATGCTCCCCACAAAAAAGAAATCTGCCATGTAAAGAGATAAAGTCAACGCTGCTGTCAATTTGCAGCAGAGTGGAAATCCATCCACACAACAGTGCTTTAAGATTTGGCAAGCTTTTAATAATTCATCACAGAGTCAAAATATTTCCAGCATTGCTGATCTTTATAAACTGAGCAGCTCAAGCGAGATTAACTTCTGGCAAACAGAGACTGTTTGCAAGTGTCAGCCCCAACAAGATTCAAATGTTTTACATTTTCAGGAACACATGTGTATCTCCAAGGCTTTGGGGCACTGGTGCAGCACACTGTAATGAGGACAGTAAGATTAATATCCTTTCCTCCTTGAACTTTTCAGCATATCAAAAGACTCGTTTTCACTAAACCAGGGATTCTGGCTTCCTAACAATGACTTTTAATGAAAGGCGGCCCGAGGTTGGCAGTCAATTGAAGAATTCAGGCTCTCATTTATACTGCACAGTTTGTTACAGCACAATTATTTACTGACACCCAAACAGAGTTTATAATGAGGAACACTACGTAGGAGGAATTTGATTTACATTAACTGTTGCCAATCTCTGGAAGGGAGTGGTTGAAAAGGAGGCCCTATTTCCCACAGTAATGAAATGAGCAGCATTTGGGCACTTCCTTCTCTAATTACCATTGCAACAGTGACCAAAATATGATATGTTCTGTTTTGGGATTTGGATTTAAACTAGGCCACTACTGGAATACTGCATGCAATTCTGGTCTATAGGAATGATATTGTGAAACTTGAAAGGCCTCAGAAAAGATTTACAAAGATGTTGCCAGGGTAGGAGGATTTGAGCTATAGGGAGAGGATGAATAGACTGGGGCTATTTTCCCTGGAGAATTGGAGGCTGATGGTTAATCTTTATAGAGGTTTAGAAAATTATGAGGGGCATGGATAGGGTAAATAGACAAGGCCTTTTCCTTGCCATGGAGGAGTCCAAAACTAGAGGGCATAGGTTTTAGGTGAGAGGGGGAAAATTTAAAAGGGACCTAAGGGGCAACATTTTCACAGAGAGGGTGGTGTGTGTATGGAATGAGCTGCCAGATGACGTGGTGGAGGCTGGTACAATTACAAGATTTAAAAGGCAACTGGATGGTAATATGAATAGGAAGGGTTTAGAGGGATATGGGCTAAGTGCTGGCAAGTGGGACTAGATTTCTGGTCAGCATGGGTGAGTTGGACCGAAGGATCTGTTTCCGTGATGTATATCTCTGTGACTCTAGAGATAGATGGATATGAGTCAGTTCTGTGAAGGTCATTTTTGTTTAAATGGGTCAGAAAGCAATTTGGAACAGTATGCTAAGTGTGTCAAGACCAGGAAGACAGGTGACTGCAGTCAGTGCCTGCTGGGACCCCTGTACTAATAGGTAGAATATTTACATGGCTGAGTTTACAACAGATCAGCAAGCCATTAGATTATTTTTGACTTCAGAATAGAAGGTTCAAGGTCTCAGTTCAGAAGAATTGGGAGCTCAGATCAGAGAAGAGAACGGTTTCTCATAGGATTGGACCATTCGGCCCTTTGAGCCTGCTTCAGACCAAGCTTTCATTTCAGGGGAGCTAAACTGTTTTAGCGTGTGGAGCTTCTAAGTGTCGAGAGCTTAGATTGAAATTGTCAAGTTGTTAGAAGTGAAAGAAAAAGTTTAGACCATCAGATTTATGAAACATTTATGCCAGGGGACTTGGAAAGGGATCATAAACCTGTCTCCACAGTCCAAGGGAAAAACAGAGAATAATAAACTTACAGTTGAGATTGATGTGAAATTTCTCTGGAATTGAGTAAAAGAACAGCACTGGAGAACAAGTCAAAGTTTTTTTTCACTGTTTGAGTTATAATCTTCCTAATTGTCTTAACATATACAGCCTTGATTGATGTTTTGTCTGTTTTCTTTAATAAATTCATGTCTGTTAAAGAACATCTGCAGACTTGTGGTTAGTCACTGAAATATATTTACACCACAATAACCAACAATAAAAATTAAACATATGACAGGTTTCTTTTCGGAATCTGAACTGTCCAAGTATTACCATCAGCTGGGATCTCTTATCACTACAAATAGTTGTTAATCTTTCAGAAATTGCTGTGTGATTGTAGCCCAGGAATAAACAGGAAGCCTGAACATAATAAGGATTGAATTATTAAAATACTGTTATTCTTAGATAATTTCTTTATGATATTACATTAAATGAAAATGATTAATTCAACCTGGTTATCTCAAGGTGCTTAAACTTGACAATTATTATCAGGCTATGAGCTTCTAACAGTATCAAAGAACACTAACTTTTAGAAAGAGAGTGCTCTATCTTTATTCTGCGGCACTGCTTTGGGCTGTGCAAATGCATTTCTTCCAGTTATTATTATGATCCCAGCTGACGTCATTTTGGGCGAGTCAAGTCCCAGACTGAAATCTAGTTTCTTAGATCATATGTTAATAAATGCCCCATCACTTTGACTATAGAAATCCTGTACATCATGCAGTCTCTAATTCTGAATCATGGGTGTTTTATGACGCACGTCAGACAGAACAAACATTCCTAAAGAAGTCTGTTGTTAAGAATAGAAATTACTTGATGCAGTATTGCTGTATGAATGCTTAATGCGTTTGCTTAACATTGCTTTGATAACTATTGTAAAAGAGCACATAGCCCGTGATCTTAAGCTCATAAAAGAGGCCATATAGATAGAAATAAAAAACACAAAGTGGGCAAACAGACTGTTAGGTGTATACTCTCAGCCCCCTAACAGTCAGGAAGAAACAGAGGATCGAATACATAATCAAATTTCAGAGAAGTGTCAAAATAATAAGACAGTAATAGGAGCTTTTACATACCCAAATATTAACTGGGATAGATTTGTGTAAGGAGGGAGGAAAATTCTTAGATTGCATCCAGCAGAACGTTTTTAACTAATATATAGAAATCTAAACAAGCAGATAGTTCTGGACCTAATGTTCAGAAATAAGACAGTGGTGGAAAGCACATCAGTGGAGCAACATTTTGGAGATAAGGATCACAAATCCTTAAATTTAGAATAGTTATGCAGAATGATAAAGATGGACTAGGAATAAAAGTTATAAATTGGTGGTAAGGCTAATTTAGCTCAGTGGACTGGAAATAGCTCCTTTCAGTTAAAACTGTCTATGTAGTGGGAGGAACTAGCCAGATTACAGAGCAAATACATCGCTGTAAAGGCAAAAGGTGAGACCAAGACTGAAGGACCCTGTGTGATAAAGGTTAGGGTTTTAAAAAGAGGAGAAGCTTATGGCAGGTACTGAGGACTCAATATGGCCGAGGCCCTGCAGGAGTATGAAAAGTGCAGGGAGAATAGTCAAAAGGAAATTACAAAAGCATAGAGAGTCCATGAGAAAGTAATAGCGGGCAGAATAAAGGAAAAAAACCAACAGGCTCTTTTTTAGGTAGTATAAAGAATAAGAGAGTCACTAGAGAAAAAGTAGGCCTCTTAGAGACTACCGAGGTAATGTGTGTGTGGAGCCAGAAGCCATGGGTACAGTCCTCAATGAATGCTTTATGTCAGTCTTCACAATGAAAAATTATGATACGGGTATAGATATCAGGGTGGTGGACTATGAAATATAAGAAAAAAATTAACATAGAGATAGTGAAAAGGTACTAGAGCGTTTAACAACCATAAAAATGGATACATCCACACTCATAGAATCCCAACAGTGTGGAAACAGGCCATTCAGCCCATCACTCCAGACCAAACTGCTGAAGAGCATTCCACCCAGATACTGCCCCCTACCCTATCCCTGTAATCCTGCACTCCCCATGGCTAATCCACCTTGCCTGCATATCCCTAAACACTATAGGTAGTTTAGCATGGCCAATCCACCTAACGTGCACATCTTTGCCTGTGGGAGGAAACCAGAGCACTCGGAGGAAACTCAAGCAGACATGGGGAGAATGTGCCAACTCCATACAGACAGTCATCTGAGGGTGGAATCAAACCCAGGTCCCTGGCGCTGTGAGGCAGCAGTACTAACGACTAAGCTACCATGCCACCCAGGATGAGAGGTGTATCATATAGTTAGAGAGACAGGGGATGAGCTATCAAGGGCCCTGAGAGTAATTTTCAAATCCACTGTGACCACAAGTGGGATACCAGAGGAATAGAGAACTGCTAATGTTGTCCCATTATTTAAAAATGGAGGAAGGGATAGATCAGGAAATTACAGGCCAGCAAGTCTAGTGAGCAACTTATTAGAAAGAATTCTGAAGGACAGAATACGTTTGCACTTGGAGAGACACAGGTTAATCTGGAATGACCAATATTATTTATTGAGGAAGGGTTACGTTTGACAAATTTAATTGACCATTTTGAGGAAGTAACTGAGAGTGTTGATGAGAGTAATGCAATTGATGTGGTCTACATGAACTTTAGCAAGACTTTTTAATCCCTCATGGTAGACTAAGAGCCCATGGAATCCAAGGCAATGTGGCATGTTAGATCCAAAATTAGCAAGTGACTGGAGACAAAGCATAATGGTAGAGGACTGTTTCTGTGACTGGAAGTCTGTTTCCAGTGGGGTACCGCAGGACTTGGTGCTGGGCCAAAATAGTTTGTGGTGAACATTAGTGATTTGGATTTAAATGTTGGAGGTATGATCAAGAAGTTTGCCGATGACATGAAAATTGGTCTTCTGATAAATAGTAGTGAGGATAGCTGTAAGTTGTAGGAGGTTATTGATGAACTAAGCAGCTGGACAGAGCAGTGGCATATGGAATTCAGCTGGAAAAGTGTGAGGTAGTACATTTGGGCAAGGCTAATTAGGCAAGCGATTGCACTATGAGTGGTAGGATCCTGGAAAATATTGAAGACCTGAAGGACTTTGTTGTGTATTTCCATTGATCCCAGTAGGTGGAAGGGCAGGTAGAGAATGTGGTTAAGATGGTATTTGTAGTACTTATATTTATTGGCCAAGGTATAGACTGAGAGAAAGGAGATTATGCTGCAACTGTTTAAAACCCTGGAATATTGTATGCAGTGCTGGTCACACAGTACAGGAAGGATATGTTTGCATTTGAGAGAGTGCAGAGAAGATTTACCAGGATGTTGCCTAGATTGGAATGTCTGAGCAATGAGGAAAGTTTGGATAAGCTGTTGTGTTCGTTGGAAGCAGCAATGTTTCAGAGGACTCATGATAGAGATGTATAAGATTATGAGGGGCATAGATAGGTTGGATAGGAAGGCACATTTTCCTTTAAGTGTGGGGTCAGTAACCAGGGGCATAGGTTTAAGGTAAGAGATAGAAAGCTAAGAATAGAGTTAAGGAGAATTATTTTTGTTCAGTGGGTGGTGGTAGTCTGAAACTCACTGCCTGAAAGGGTGGTTGAGTCGAAACTGTCATAACATTTGAACAATATTTAGACAGACACTTGTGTTGCCATAGCCTCCAGGTCTATGGATCAAGAACTAGAAAATGGGATTAGTGTAGTCAGATCTTTATTGGCTGGCATGGGCACAATGGGTCTAATGGCCTCTTTCTGTGCCATTAACATCACAGGTATAAAAATAGACTATAGTGTCCACTTAATATCACACACACTGATTTCAGGCAATATATGCTTGTTCTTTGTTATGGAGAATGTTTATTCGTTTAATACAACAATAATAGTTCTTCAAAAGCGAAATACTGTGGATGTGGGGAATTCGAAGGAAGAGCAAAAGTATGGTAAAGTTCAGCAGGTCTGGCAGCGAATGTGCAGAGGAAGAGTTGACTTTCAGGGCAAGTTGACCTTTATCGGCAGTTCTGCACCAGAATACATTTCTGTTTTTACATTTTTGCACACAATTTATGACTTTGGCAGTACAAATTCTGTTTAAAGTCTACATTTTTTTCTTCATCAGGAGACTGTAAAGTCATCAACTGAAGTCAAAAGCAATCAGTTCAAGTCATCGTCGTCTTGCAAACCTCAAGAATGCAAACTGGAGTTGAAGTCGAGTGTTGCGGAACCTCAACAGAATGTTTCTCCAATTCCCAGTCCTGTGACAGGTAAAACTGAAGACAACAAGTTGTGTTTATTCAATGCGTTCAACATAAAGATCTTGCCATGGTCAGCAATGATCGCGAAGAGGTGTAAACAAGGCAGTGAAAATTCACTAGATTGGTTCCCAGGATGAGAGGGTTGTTCTTGGATAAGGGGATGAGAAATTGAGTCCATATTCTCTGGAGTGTAGGAGAATAAGAGCTGATCTAATTGAAACATTCAAAATTATGAGGGGAATGACAGGGTGAATACTGAGTTGTTGAGGTGAATTTTCCAATTTTTTCGCAAAGTGTTTTTCTAAATGAGGTAGATGGTGCCTGGCCTGCCATGGCTGACAGCCCTTCCGCTCTTCACCTCGTTAATTATTACAACTGGACTTTACTGTGCCATGTTTCAGAAGTGTTATGGCACAGAAGGAGGCATGTCAGCCCATCATGTCCATATTGGCTCTCTAAATGAGCATCATGACTTAGAGCAATTTCTCTGCCTTTTCCCCTTCCCCTTCCCCTTCTATTTAGTGACAATAACTTAAAGACTTCATTGCATGGCACTCATGGCAAAGGTGCTCACCACTGCTAGGAGCTCGTGGCACACGTGCTGGCGTTGTGATTAAACCCCAGCTATGCACCACCTTAGATGTTGCAAGCCAGGAAGTGTCCCTATACCATGGCACTTGAGCCTGTACATTCAGGTCTTGGTCCAACAAGGAAAGTTACCTCCTCAGTTCACCATTAGAGACCTGAGATGCTGGTGGATGGGGTGGTGGAGAGGAGAGCACTGCTGGATCCTGCTGACCAGCAAAGGAGACCACGCTACCTGATGCAGCTAGCCTAGAGTGAGATAGCCACTCGGGCCAGTGAAGTGTCCTGGATGAACCGCAACACACAGCAGTGCAGGGAGAAGGTAAATGACCTTCTGCATTCCACAAGGGCAAGTACCATCATCTGTCTGCTGCCTCACACTCACAGGGCCACCACTGCCACGGCACGTCATCTGCCCAAGACCCATGGACAACAACTCTCATATTGCATGCAGCATCTCCACTCAACAGCTCTTACCCACCTCATCCTCTTGAATTACTAACCCTCCCTGCCCTTTGCCCTTCCAACTCACTCTCTTGAGGGCACCTCATCACATCTCTTCCTCCTGCACCACCACGGATGTTCTTCTATCCATGTTCATCCTACTGAAACCCTCTCTTTCTCACGCTGGAATTAAAACTGATGCAGCCCTGGATTAATGTTTCCACAGCACCTCATGACTCACAATTGGTCCATAATTGACTTCTTCCCCATTCTCAGGCTTGAACTGCTGACCGGCTATATAGGGGAACAAGCCAGACAGGAAAAGGTAGTCTAAAACTTGTAAGCCTCCGTGAATGACCGTATTTCCTTCTTTGTGACAGGTATACAAGTTGTTATTAATTATTATTTCACTTGCAGTAAATAAGCATTCATTGGCATTGCCGCAGAACACTAATGACAAAGATGGGAGAGATCAACACAACAAAGATAAAGCTTCTTCTTCATCCAATCAGCCATCGTGGATGGAACTTGCCAAGAAAAAGGCGAAAGCGTGGAGTGACATGCCACAAATAATCAAGTAAACTTCCATACGGGACCTCTAAGTCATACCTGGAATCCTCATAGCTGCTAGTTTTTGGACAAACAATAGACTGTCCATAATGTTGATTGACAATAAGTTAGAATCCTGTGTTGATGAAATGTAGGTCAACTTCATGTTCTGTTGTTTTTTTTCTCAAAGACAAAAATAGGGTTTCCTCAGATTACTACATCTAGTGTATGACGGCACCAAATTCTGGTGAAGTGCTGAGAGTGCTGGTAATCAGACAGTAAATGCAGTGCAGATCGCTGACTGAATGATTCCAAGACCATATGGCTTCTCGTCATGATTCGGATCCACATGGTTGGGTCAATGTAGGAAAAAAGTGTAAATTTTATTTGTGGCCTGGTAGGCAACCATAGGTAAAGCATTGTTCTTGTTAATAACCTGCTACATTTGTTTAGGATACAGGAGGTGCTTTATGATAGAATGCAATGTATGTCCAGGGAAACCAAGAGAGGGGAAGAAAGTTGGCTCTTTCTGACAAAAAAACATTTTTCAACTACTTTTAGTTTCAATTGATCTGCAAATGTTTTGCTGTCTTCGAAGAGTTAGGCAGCATTTTAAAAAAAGCATTTTTTGGATCAGGTGTAAAAAGTTATATTTGTATGCTTGTAATTTTAGCTTAAATTTTGTAATGATTTATCATACTGTAATATAATTACACTATTGTTAAAACAAAATATACAAAGACTCGGTAAAATGTGGGATATATATATATATATAATGGATATCAGATATGTCTAGTGATAGATATAATCGGCATTTGGGTTTGCTTAGCATTTCAAATTTTAGTTTTGGTAATGGTTGTACTTGTTTCTGATTCCAAGCAAATCAGTACGTGTGGAAATGAATGTGTGTGTGTGTATGTGTCTGTGTGTCTATGTGTATTTGTTTGTGTGTGTATGTGTGTCTATATGTCTCTGTGTGTGTGTGTGTGTGTCCATGTATGTGTCTGTGTCTGTGTGTGCGTGTGCATGCGCGCTGTGCCAGGCTGAACTCTGATTGGTATTGAGGTAGTTTGTTAAATCTACAAAGAAGCTGATTTTTATATCAGCTCTTCAGTCTTTGAGCAGCTGCTGCTTTACTCAGCAGAGTTGCTTGATGTCAGCACGTCCAAATTGAAACAGAATATTTGGGTGTCTGGATCTGTGGAATCTTCAGCGGATGGGGACATGGGAATTGCTGAATGAGAAAAGCCATCTAAGTTCATCCTGATCATCACACGACACAGTAACAGAATTATCAATTAATGTTGAAGAAACCCAGCCATGCAGTGAGGAATGTTTCCCAGTGGTAGAGAAGCATTGGGAACCATAGGTCCAAAGTTATTGTTCCTCTCAAGCTTGTTACACTTACTGTGTATTGTGTGGTTAATGAAGCATTCACCTCCTGGATTTCTTGGCACCATTACTAAATGTAACTAAAAGAAGCTGCCTGACGCCCTATTCTGTAAAGCCACAATTCAACTGGTGCAGTGATACTTCCTTGATGTAAGAGAATGTGCATATTATGTTAGTAACAGAATTGTAACTGAGTAGACTTACAGGAGGGGAGTGGGAATTTGGGCAGGAGAATGTGTAAAATATTTTGAAGAATCTTGTATCGTAGCAAACTAACGATATTTTCCCAGCCTGCATTTAAATACTTGTAACAACGCAAATTGCACTATATATTTTATCTTCCAATCATTTTACCATATTCACGTCGTGAAAACTTTAGTATGCAAATATGCACCTGCCAAACTATTTTCCTAAATTGCCAGAAGTTAACTCTCACTGTGATACAGGTACAATGGTAGAAAGAGTTGCATTATTTTGGAGCAAATCATAGACAACATGCACTTTGCAAAGGTGCTCAAACCATGTATCTTTAGTTCATCGATTCATATTTTGCATATTATCCATCTGGTGATAGTTTCACTCCATATAACCCAGTCCTATGAATACAACTTTTAACAGTTATCATGCTATTAATGCACTAGACAGTGAAAGTTTTTTTTATAAATCACAAATTGAGTTTCATAGTTTCGTTTCCTCATTCAACTTCTGTTTGTACAATCTGCATGTTATCAGCAATGCAACTATTTTTGCCTGTTGTTACACATACGTGTATGTGTGCACCTGTGTACCTATTTTGAGGATGGTGTACAGCATCATGCACAGTATCTGACTGTTATCATGCCGTGTAATGTATATTCATGCAGACTGAGTGTTTGAATTAGTCAGCTATTTGTGTGATGAATTGCTACTGAGGAAGTTTGAATGCTCAGAATACACTCCAGGTACATTTTTCTTTACTGGCTGTTCCCTGTTAAGTGAAGTAGTGTGCATCTTCCAGAGTGAATATTAGTAAGGTGGTTACAGTATGAAAAATAGCAGCATTTTTATCCCCAAGGAGTCAAGCTTAGAAATTTCAATTGCATATTTTGCATGACACAGGAAGGCACTGAATTGCCACAAACTGATATAGTCTATCTGGATGGTCCTGAAGTTTAATTATGATGTACTATGCACTGTCTTTGTCAGTGCAGTGCTGTACTATGTCATCAGATTCACCCATCACAGAAATGGTAGCCGCGTGACAGTGTGTCATTGTACTGGTTCAGAGAGCCGTAGAGTGGCAGTAAAGAGGGTTTGACTCCCCACACATAGTGTCACCTGCATTACCACAAGGCAGTGTGAAGCTGAAGCCAGAGACATCTCCAAGGCAAATAAACAGAAAGAATTAATAGTTTCGTCTGAGAGCTGGTCTTGATTTGGAGTTCCATTTGCAAGGAGGCCCAGAAATGCATTGTCCGGCTAATACCAAGCTGCATTTGGTGCAGGGTCCAGACAAACCAGTGAAGGTAAACTAGGAGATAAACTAGGGGGAGCTTCTCCACTTAAAAATAAATGTTGCATTGAAATAAGTGTGCAACGTTGGAGTATAAATGTGCAACAGATGTTTTATCTGAAAATTGTCTGCAATTAACCAATGATTTTCAAATAAACCAAAGCCTTCCATAATGAGGCATCTCAGGCAATTTTACCCTTAATATCTTCACATGATATTTTCTGCTAATTTAACATAAATCCTACTCTATTTAAAAAAAAAATGTTGCCATCTCAGTTATAACAGCGGGTGGTGAAATATTGTATGAATAAATTAATGATCTGATCACTAATATTGTAAATTGCAGTTTCCAAGTTTAAGTTGCCACATCTCCAAATGTAACTCTGAACTTAACTCTAGTTCATTTGGTTGTACCTATAGTTTATAAATACCTGCATGATGTTACAACTTATGCACTGAATATTAAAACACAGTATATTCTGTAAGGATAGTAAATCCATTCAGGAATTATAGTTTGTTCAGTAACATCCCATAGTATTTGTTCTGATATCGTGTAATGACAAACCTGTGAGATTCTGTGGGATTTGTGAATAGGTGATTTGGTAGGGGTGTGTGTTTTGCATATTTGACGTTTGCATGTTCAATAACTTTGCCAATTAGATGTCAGTAAAGCTGGTACAGCTTCAAGGTCTCCAATCTGATGAGCTTCAACCTAATACTGCTGTACGATGCACCAGACTGTTAAACAACCTTACCCTTATGTTGCTAAATTTATACTACCTCTCCCTACTTTTATATTGTTAGAACTTCCAACTTGTTAAATCATGATGGAAATTAAAGGATTATTTTTTACTAATCTAAAATATGGAACTCTGTATTGAATGCAGTGATTTAATATCACACTTCTTGCACCCACTGGCTAAAATGTGTTTGTGTGGTGTGATAACATGAAAATTCAGTGTTGTCGCTGGAGGTTTCAGTAAAATCTAATGGTGACCACTAGAAGTTTCTCGTGGCTGTATTTAGGTGTTGAATTACAGTGAAGACCAAAGGTGGGCATGTGAAATTTCCTTAGTGTGTCTACTAAAATGGAAAACAGCCATATTGCAATTTGATAAGTTTCTAACTTTGGTTTTGGAAAGTGCATTTTGAGTCCAAAGTGAACAGTAAGGTACTCGTGGTTATAGATTGTGGTGGGAACAATTTTAGATAATGAACCAAAGTATCTCATACACAGAGCAAAGACAAATTGCATACATACATGGCACTTATCACATCACTCGGGATCCCCTCAAGCACATCACACACACAAAGGGCCTGATTTACTGACGCAGTAGACCCACCATACTGGCTGAAAGGACCAGAGCCATTCCTCACTGCTTCCCCACCTCTCTCTTCCCCCCACCCACAACACACACACACACAGAGTGAAGCTGCCTGTTGGTCATTGATTGAGTTAAGGCAGGTTTTTGGACCCTCGCAGAAATAGGGGCCGGTCATTTTCTAATGCCCCCATCGTGGTCCTGGGGCTTGTTAAGGTAGAAACCCCTTCAGCCCCTGCAGGGAGAGCTACTGCATTTTACTGCTTGGCTTAAGTATGAGTCTGTTCCTCCTCTGGTTCCACCTCTACCCAGCGTCAGAGAGAGATATTTTCTAATCAGCCTTTTTCAGGGATGTTGCTACACACTTCTGAAACAGGTGCGACTTGAACATGGGCCTCCTGGTTTGGAGGTAGGGACACTACCACACCACCAGAAGAGCTCCTCCAGCTGCAGTGGGATGAGGCCAATTAAGTGGTATTCAGTTATCCACTCAAGGGTCGGAATTGGCCGATTGATGTGTGGGATGTTCAACATGACCCCCACCTTCCTTCTGGTCCTGCCTTTGGCTATTTAGCACAGGATGGGTAGGTGGGCACTCCATCCCCAGTCCCACCAGAGGAGGGGTGTTATATCCAGCCTGCGGACTATTCCTTTTGGAAATTGGATGATATACTGGTGGACGTAGTGGGGTTCAGATGTTCTTTACATTCACTGAGATCCTACAGACAGCATTGAGATGAGCAACCATCTTTTCAGAACCTACGAATTTCTGATGAAGGGTCTAGGCCCGAAACGTCAGCCTCCCTGCTCCTATGATGCTGCTTGGCCTGCTGTGTTCATCCAACCCTGCACCTTGTTGTCTCGGATTCTCCAGCATCTGCAGTTCCTACTATCTCTGATTCAATCTTTTCAGTGATACTGGTATCAAGATACCAAGGCATCTTTGACATTCTAATAAACAGTCAGCTACGACCTTGGATAATATTGGAACAGAAAATGTTGGAAATACTCAGCATCAATGGAGAAAGAAACAGCATTAATGTTTCAGGTGTGTGTGTGTCCATGAAAACTTGTAAAACCAAGTTATTTGAGCGAAAGCGCTTCTGATAATGGCCTGCACTGGAGTATCAGCCTGGACTGCCTGTGAAAATCCAACAATGGAGCCTCAGCTCATAAGCTTCTAAAACAGAGCATCGCCAACTGATCAAAATGGTGAGGTTAATGTTAGGCCCTGATTTTATCATACAGTAGGAGTGTTGTTAGCAAGGGGCATAAATATTCAGCAAACCTACATTACAAGGCCCAGAGAGAGAGAGAGCAACTAGATTTTCCAGGCCAGTTTCCAATTCTGAAAATCCAGCGGAAGTGGCAGCACAGTGGCAATGTTATTGGACAAGTAATGCAGAACTCCAGACCAATGTTCTGTGGAAAATTTTTCAAATTGTATTGTGCAGGCGGTGAAGTATGAATTTAATAAAAGTCTGTAGTCAAAATGTCAGTCCCATGGCAACCATGTAAACGGTGCTGATTGTTGTAAAGACCCATTTGGTTTAGTAAGGCAAGTTGACATCTTTACCTTGTCTGCCTTCACGTGACTGCAGACCCACAGCAATGTGATTGATTTAACTCCCCTCTGGGCAATTAGGGATGGGCAATAATACTTTTACCCACAAATAAATAAAAACATCTCCTCACTGCCTGACTGGTGGGAAGAATTGCAGTCGGATGCTGCTAAACAAGGGCGTGTGGTCTGATAAACAGGGTAGGAGGGGAGGCCAAGGATATCCTCATGAGGCCTGGAGGCTTCGCAGTGGAACTGAGGGCCGTGGTTCTTGTCAGTAACATGGGCTTTCACCAAGAATTCCTGGAGAAAGTTAAATGAGGGCAGAATGGGGGTTGTGGGCAAGGGTTTATCAGTCTGAACGTAATCAGTTTACAGGCAGACAACAGGGATGGCATCCTGCCACATCAAAAGTCCCTTTCTCCAACTCTGAACTATGCCCTCTTGCTTCTCTAGGCTCATGAGGGACCCAATGGAACACTGTTCACAAAGCTTTACTGAGCGGCACGGTGGCTAAATGGTTAGCTGCTGTCTCACAGCACCGGGGACCCAGGTTCAACTGCAGCCTTGGACAATTCTCCTTGTGGAGTTTGCACATTCTCCCTGCGTCTGTGTGGGTCTCCCCCAGGGTGCTCTGGTTTTGTCCGACTGTGTTTCCTCCCAAATGTGTGCAGGTTAGGTGGATTGGCCATGGGAAATGCGGGGTTACGGGGATAGGCTGGGTCTGGGTGGGATGCCCTTCAGAGAACCAGTGTAGACTCGATGGGCTGAATGGCCTCCTTCTGCACTAAGAGTTCTATTAGTAGGTTGTGCCTCATCTCAATCCGGCATATATTCGGTTTGACCTGGTTGGGAAGATCATTCCGTGATCTTCAGTTAAAATACCGAGCCTGGATCTCTATGGACGACTTTGCCAACTTGTGGCATGTGGCCTCACAGCTAATCATTTAAAATTTAAATTACAATCTCCCCATGTCTGGGTGGAATCTAATGGATTCCAAGGTGGAGGACAGATTGTTTGATCAAGTGTAGTTCATCATGGTCAGGTCAGGAAATCTGGTAAGCTCTTGCCCATGACCCCCATCCTGTCCTCATTCAGCTTTCTCCAAGGATTCGTGGTGAAAACCCATGTTACTGATAAGAACCTTTGCTCTCAATTTCGCTGCCAACAAAGGAAATTCACTGTCCTCATACTGACTGACAGCTTGAGAGGGGTGGAGGTGAAGGTGCAATTTCTGCCCTAATGTGGGAAAAGGGGAGTACAGCAATTTAATGTTCCCTATGGAGCCATGACCCTGCATGATAGAGTTCCCATTGCTGGAATTTAATTGCTTCAGGTGTCCTTCAGACTGGATCACAGGAGGGTCACTAGTATTGCTGGTGGGCAACCCCACTGTGTTCATTAGATTTTGCGATTTGTTTTTGTAATTTAGCAATAGAGAGAGGGTATGGGGAGTCTAGAGAAGGTATTAAATGTTGTTTTAACTCCCTAATATGGCATGTTGGGACAAGTATAATAACTAAGAGTAGCAGTAGGCAATTCAGCCCTTTCAGCCTGCTCTGCAAGTATGCCAAATAAATGACCACATGGTTACATTCTGAAGAAGGTCCACTGAACTTGAAATGTTAACTCTGCTTTCTCTCCAGAGTTGCTGCCAGACCTGCTGCCAGACCTGCTGAGTTTTTTCCAGTAATTTCTGTTTTCGTTTCAGATTTCCAGCATCTGCAGTTCGTCAGGTTTTTTTAAAAAATGTTATTGAATCAATTCACTTTTCAAACTGTCCCTGATATTTGTACTGTCAAGTCACACAAATTGGAGAATTTTAAAGTAGGATTTTGTCATGAACAGAAAATTGCATATAGAATAGTTTCTGCACAGCAGCCAGATAAAAAGGCATTCATCAAATTGGATCCAACACATTACTCCCAAGTCAGTGTGTCCCGCTGACATCAGGGACAGGGGTGGGTGGTGATTATGAGATGCCCAGTTTGCCAGCTTTCCAAAGCCATTGCCAAACTCAACTGTTTTGGTTGATGTGAGATTAAGAAGGCCAGCTACTTCCGTGAAGGGGAAGGCATTTGGGTTTGGTCACAGCCTTGTTAACCAGGGACGAAGGAGTCGGGGGTTCGGTTTCCCAGCATGATGTGTGTCGGGGGGATAAGGGGGCAGATCATCAACTTCGACGGGGCACCCAGCAGCTGTTGTGGCTGTTTCTCTGGGCAGGCCTCGAGGCTGAAGGTGCAGCCAGACACCTTCCTGCAGGGGGATTGCACATCGGGGACAGGGCTGTTCCTTTACGTCTGAAGGCAGCTGAGATAGCATCTTCTCGCTGTGCCTCTCAGCTCAGCACCTTGTACTGCCATTGGGGTTCTCCTTTGAAGTTGGATCTCCAGTTTTGAGAGCCCACCCACAGAGAGGGAACCTGTCTTCGCTACAGTTCAGTGGCTACGCACAACTTCAATCAGGATCCCACAGAAAGCCAATTCAGGACTTCTTGTTTCCCAGCTTTGTGAAAAAGTTACTGCATCAAAATACAGGGCATAGTGCAAAACTGTGCCTCCGCACTTGAGGTCAATAAGACCAGTGCTGCAATGCAACACCCCTGTCTCATTGTGCATCCCTACCTCTGGGTCAGAAAGTCCAGATTCAAGTCTCACCTGCCCCAGATGTGAGTGAACAAGTTGATTAAAAATATCTATAAAACCCCTGGAGTGCCACTTAGGCTTATATTTCAGAGGAACTCCAGATTTTCTCCCTTGTTAAATCTCTAAGAGACACAGGAGGCAGAGCATACAGAGCTTTGTAAGGTGAAATGTTGGTGCATAGATAAAACTTCAAGCCAATGGAAGACTGATCACTTTTGATTTAAGACTTCACTGCAGATGTTTGGATCAGAGCCAAGAGTCATAAATTGTTTGCAGGCAACAAAGAGGAGCCAGCGCACACA